TATCCACAATACATCACACGACGCTATCTGGTGGAAGGAACGAACCGCGTCGAAAGCCTCTTAGCCAAATGGAAAGAGTGAATGAATCGGAATCTGAGTGAAATAAAAACAGCCATTTGGCATCGAATCAACACCAACCGCATCTTCGCTTGAGTCGCCCAGCATGACTCGTGAGACCGCTCTGAAAAGGAGACGAAGACATCCTAATTGAGTATCAATTCATCGTTTTCGTACGAATCAGCGAAGAATGACTGATGCTTGCGGGAGCAGTCGGAAAGACAGCATTTTTCGGGATTCGTGATTCACTGATGTGTAATTTGAGTTACTGGAACCGATGGTGAATCCATGTAGAATGCATCGCTTATGGATTATATTCGTGGATGATTCATTTGAGTGGCAACAAAAGTGCCGTCATCAATCACACCAATGTTGGCTTAACATTTCATGAAAGATTACTTGAATTACTTAATGGTGAAGATCTTGAAGTAATGTTCAATTAATGATATGTCAAATGCAGATGCAGTTCTACCTGTTCGCTTCGACGATGTTAGGCATATCTACCGAAAATCATGACAATCAATCGTACACAATCGATTCTATCCAAAGGTCACCGTCTGGCTTAGTTCCTTGAATGGTGCGAGATTCGTGACTAGCCACGATATAAAAAAAAACAATCCCATTATTATCGAGCGGTTACCTTTCATCACCCAAATAGAAAATGCCAACATTTCGTCAAGTGAACTCTGGTTGCTTTCGGTGTCAAACCCTTCCTATGTCCAGCGTCTACACCGGTTCATGCCGCTAGGAACCAGAAAACCGAATCAAAGCTTGATGAAAGACATCCATCACAAATTCTTGACACGCAATCCACGATTAGACACATCTCTCTGCAGCCATGCGAAGCGCCAAAACAAGAATTCGTTTCTTCCCTCGTTCTCACAATGGACTATTCAGTATCTGGGTTCTAGCTAGTTCGCTTAGCCACAGGTAGGTATGTATATATTTTCACCATAAAGATAACATTTTATAGCTGACGTGACATTGACATTTCTCTGTTTTGCGCTTTCGTTTCATACCGCCTTTTCCCGAGGCTTGCTCGCCTTCTGTTTTGTCCGGCAAATGGGAAACTTTATTACAATTCCGACATAGGGTTACGGTATGTAATGTGGGTCTAGTCCTTTCATTCGGCCTATCACGCAAATAAATAATAAATTAAGGAATATTACACAAAAAATAAGGAAAATATTGATCACTGATGGTTGATAAATGTGTACCACACACAAATCAACATTTCAATACATTTTCAGCTCTCGTAAGTAATAAAACTGGTTGAGAATATCACAATGTTCGGAGTTTTTAGCCGCCATGACTTATAAGGTTAAGATGGGAAGGTTGACTGACGATCATCAAATGGCCTGATTATGGCATTTATTGATTGGAATTACCTGATAATACACACTAGACGTAAAACTTACAGTTGCTGTTTGAATATTTTATGTTTATTTTAATTGTTTAACAACGTTTTCACAAGTAAAACATGGACCCAACTTTAGGGACACATTTCTTTTCTATGTTCCTAACTATGGCCCATGAAATTCATTTGACAGCATATAGCAATAAGAGTAACGTCAACAATGTTGTTTTGCATAAGGAACGAACAGGAAGGGAGATTTTTTCTGCCAAACCTGTATAATGAACATCACAATGTTCTGATTTAGATATTCTGCGGTCAAAAGACGATAAGCGAAATTTTTAATTTTTAATTTTTAAATTGAGTGATTTAATGTAGTTTTCGTAAAATTTTCTCTAAGAAATGTTTTGAGGAATGAAGAGCATTAAGTTAACAGTGATAGTGATAAAAAAAAATACATCAGAAAACGTTACCAAGAGCGTTTTTTTGAGGATCAAACAAGATAGGACGAAGTTGCATCCATAAATAGACCCAATTTGGGGACAATAGACCCATATTACATACATTTCCCTCGTGAGTTATTGTCTTAAAAAAAGTAAGTTTTTCAACTTTTCGTGGTTTCTGATAGCAAACGACATGATAAGCATATCTAAGCATACCATTTAGCAGTAGAATATCGTTTGCAGGTAAATTCATTGATGAGTTATGATTAAAAACGTAATCGATGGCTGCATATTAGACCGAGGTTAGGGACGTATACCCTACCACAATCAACACAGCTTGAATCGCTCGCCATTCGACCACCACGTTGTCCACGTTATAGTGTTAGGAGGTGCTTGCCGTTCAAGCGAGTCACTAGTCACTAGTCATGAACAAACAGTAAAGCTGCAGTTGGAATAATTTTCAGATTACAATGATAATTTTCCTACTGTGGAATCGGTGTAACGGTACTCCGGAGAAAATTTTGTTGGGGTGTTGATATTTTGCTTAAATTTACAATCCGAAAATAAAAGCATTGGAATTGCAACATTGCATTCAACAAGGTTCGATTATTATTTCAGGAATTGCCATATTCTAAGCAGACTTGCGGAATATTCAAAAAGCTCACGGGTGGGAGTCTATTGTCATCGGTGAACCATCATTATCGTTCAGCATACTTTAAGGGAAAATCCAGTGCACCAGAGAAATGTTTGGCAAATCTAGTGCACCAGAGAAAAAATTGGGCCTGCTTGGTAAATTTCAGAGATCTCCCAGTGCTCTTTGAAGAAACTGTAAGGGAATTTCGGGGGAACACCCAACATCAATCAGGGCACATCGTAATGGTATTTGTGGAAGATTTATGATCTATACACCCAAAATAAAACTGCATGATTCGTAATAGATTGTAACCTCGCTAAAAAATGCAAGGAAATCATGCGTTTTTTGCAAGAAATGATTGCGAAAATCGCAAGATTTGGTGTGTTTCGGCGTGTTGCATTCAAAACATTTTCTGCTTTTAGGTGGACATATAGTATGAAGATGGTTCCGATGAACCTTGTACACTTAGAAACTATTTTTTACCGAACTTTCAACTGCTGAACTGCGAATGAATGTCACAGCAAAGTCGGTAAATTATTATTATTAAATTTGGACAAAATTTGGCTAGTTCCGGTTATTTTGCGCAAACCCTGTAGATTTGCATTCCGATCGTTAAAGAACCGTAGAATCCAAATTTCACCAACTCATACTTAAATTTGAACTTCTCTAGAGCTACTTTTATCGAACCTAGAGTGTAGCTACGTGTCGATAAGTGGGAGCAAGTGAATATGTTTTTGCGAGGTTCTGACATTTTGGAAATATTTCAAAATTGAAATTATGAGAAATAAAAAAACTACAAGGGACAGCCCTAAGGGGTTGTTCGCAATGGTGACGTAGGACTACGTGGTCTTATATAATAAATGTTTTTTTTTTTAACTGCAGCAGTAGCTTGTGTTTTGTTTAGGAATAGGAATTTGAGCGGGGTTTTCTCTGTTTATACTCTTTAGTATGACTATGATTGCCCTGAAAAGAACCTTTTGATATGAATTTTAGTTGGTACATGTTCAGAAATTTAACTCTTTTGGAAAATCTTGGTGGCCCTGAAAAGAGCCGATGGTAGTACAGGTTAAAGCCTTTGGAAGATGATGATGACGTATAGGCAGCTAGATCAGCCAATCGGACCGGACAATCCCATATTATTCGGTTCAATGATTGCTGAACAGAGGTTGAACTGGTGTCTGCGACTGGTTGGAAGGCCGCAGAATATCAGTGTTCATTCAGCTAAAGCTCCTCCAACAAGTGTAACCCAAGAACCAAAAGTGGTGCGATGCTAGTTTTCAATGCTATGACTGAATTAAGGGGCTTAGAAGCTGAGGGGTGAAAGTCAATTCCCTTTATCGATTTCCTCTTTTGATGACCGCGTTATTAGCTAAACAGAAAGTCGATGAAGAGAATAGATCAAAATCACTTGCACCCCTGCTTGCAAGTTTGGTTACAAGCAGTGGCGTCGCCCTAACCTCAATCTCCCTGTTCAACAACTCTCAAAACTTGAAAAATTTAAAAGAAATGTCTTCCAATGGATACAAATCAGTGAAACTAGAAGATCCTGTGCCTTTTGAAACTGATTTGAATGTAAGCATGACTCTAAATAACGTTTTCAAAGTCGTTGAACAGGTAAAATTGAGGTTACGCGACGCCACTGGTTACAAGATTACAACTCTGGGGCGTGTGGCGATGAGTGTGCAAAATATTACGCAATTGCATCCTCCCTATTTGCACACGCCCGAAGATCGGAGGCGAATGCCACTTCGGCTTGTTTCGTCTACTAACGACTCTCTGATGACAGTGTTGGGGAAGCAGCAATGCCACATCGACATATTTCGTCTAGAAACGATTCTTTGATGACTGTGTTGGGGAAGCAGCATATGTTTGTACGTAATTGATGGATTTATTAGTTATTTCGACGCTTTTGGACAATGATTGGAAATTACCACTTTTTCAATACTTTCTTGTTAAAAATCAACAGTTTGAAGCATTATTACCGATGCGCAAATATATTTCTGATCGATTGGTGATATAATTCTTGAAATTGGTCCAGGTTTAGACAAGGTAAGTCAATTGATCAACTCAGTTGAAATCAAGCCATACAACTGACTTGGTCAACTAACTCGAATTGAAAAAAAAATTGAACCAGGCTCAATTCTTCGAGCCAATTGAATTCAACTGAATTGATCCAAACCCAGCTTAACTCTTTACCATGCTTGCATTTACTTAAAGGCGCTCCAATGCGCTCAAGGGATTGATTTTTGTTGGACACAGCCGTAAGTTAGTGCTAAAACGCATTAAATGGCCCAAACTCAACGCTAATTGACAGCTTCTGGCCAATTTAAGCCACTTTTCGGCGAATTGTTATCAGCTTATTTTACGCAATTTAGTATGTGTGTGTGTCCTCGTACTGATTTATTCAAGTCACGTTCATTTCTGAATCCGATTTACCCATGATGATGAAGCATACCCTCCCCTACATAAAGTTGCTGTAAAGAAGAAAGATCATAAAACTGCCGAAACTCACCTGATCGCAAATAATGTCCCATTTCTTGTCGTTGTCATAATTCTTCAGCAGCTTTGCCTTGTCCGGTGGGAGATCCATGGAAGCCTGCGAAAAAGGAGAAGAAAAAGAGGAGATATGAATGAATGAATACTTAAAAATGGGTTCATTCGATACAAAAATAGCACCATTAAAGAGAGATTAGTTGCTAAATTAGTGACCGTGTCGTTATGAATAAATTAACTGTAAATAGGTGGAGAGATTTTACGAGTTGACAGCGGTAGCGGAGAGACGGCGAACCCGTTGCTGTCGGTTGATGATGGCTTGAATTATATTGTTGTCATATTTTAGCGACCATAAAAGTCCAATTCGATGGATTTTATTTTACATGCTGATCAACTTCTGTTTTTGTTTTCGCTGCATTGCTGAAATGCGGTGGGAGTCTAGATTTGAGCGATCGAATGGAATTCGTAAGACTTACCTTTACAATTTAAATTTAGAATGCCAATCGAGCGAGTGGGTGCGACTAATCGCAACTTATAATCCAATTTCAAGGACATTTTCGTATTGAAAGTTTTCGACTGGACTGCTGCCGGGACGTGAAGTTTACCACTGCTAACACAAATTAAGACGCATTCAGTGTCACGGTGGCGGACATTCGATTTAGTTGTTTTCTGTTATGTATTACTCAGTATATACGCTAATCATCATTAATATACACGATACAATGATTTATTTATTTATTTATTGTCGTCAATCAGATGTACTTAGACAATTTCTTACAAGGTACAAGTCATGTGTTAAATTGATGAGTAGAATTACAGTACTGCTTTAATCTGGTTTTGTCATTATAAAATTAATAGTTTCACTATGTTTATTGTAAGCAGTCATAATTTGATTAAGTGGACCAAATTTGGCATAATTTGTGCGATGGTGCTTTGTAGTAAATATATTTCGAGTTCGCAGTTGCCAAGAAGGTATGTAAAAATTAAGCTTTGATAACAGCTCTACTGAGTTAATCCGATGCGATACTATATCGTTCACAAACGAACCTTGTCCAACCTAATGTACGAAGAGCAAATAATAAGAATTGCTTTTGCACTGATTCTAATCGTTCCTCGTGCGTGAATGAAACAGGTGACCAAACTATGCTGCAGTATTCAAGTATGAAATGTACAGTGACTTTATTACAGTATACGCGTCATGAAAGTTGTAACTGAATCGTTTGATAAAGCCAAGCAATAACATGCTTTGTCGATAATTGTATTATAATGATCAGTGAATGCTAGTTTTGAATCAACTATAACTCCTAAATCTCTAACTCGTTCACACTTTTCTACTGCCTGGTATCCTAATACAATTGTATTTTGTGGTTTGTTTCTCTTTCTACTAATAGCAATTGATTAACATTTTTTTTATTTTACGCGGAGATGTTGGTTCACTCGCAACTATTTTTGAAAATTAAGTGTTTTCGAACGAAAGTGTACCAAAAGTGCTTCTGAACGTGTTTCGCAGTTGGGTGTGGTGAAATTCGTGCATTCCCGGTTGATTATGGAAATCCGCATCATAAAATTGCCCATCGATTCCTTTTTTTTGCTGTTCGACGACGACGGGTGTGCTTTCGCGAGAGTGATGTTTATTCGATCCGTTTCTTTGCACGGATGTGTTTTTTTGTAACAAGCGTAAGTGTGCCTGTGATCACGTCTTCCTTCGAAAGGGAAGTAAAGCCGTTGGTCCTCGGTTCATGAGTTGATGAGGCGATAGGTAGGGTCCAGGTGTGGGAGCTGCCTCCCTGGCGTCGGTAGCATTGGTGCTCAGCTCGGAAAACAAATCAAGGGAAAAAAACAGTGGCAAAGGTGTTATATCCTAGACAAATGGTAAGTTACAAATTAGCTGTTGTCGTTGTCATAGGCGCTGTCGTAATCGCCGTCGTAGTCGCCGTAGGCAGTACCGTTAGTATATTTAAAATTAACCATCAACCGCTGTAAATATGAATTATCGCGTATTTCTGTTGTTCATTACATTCCAAGTGAAATTCGAGAACGTAATTTCATTTGAATAGCTTGTTTAACCAGGTCTTAAACAATCGTCACGTCGATCATAGCTTGTTATGATTGCCTGAACCATGCGTAAAGAGAAAATCGAAACATTGAACGTCGCGTGAAAGTGGATCTTAATGAAGGCCTAAGTACTCTTTCGTAGCTTTTAGTTTTAGGATTTCAAAGATCGTCGGTTGCAGTGGCTTGCTTACTGAGGAGAAAAACGCGGTCCCATATCCTTTCATATTAAAAATGCATGGTAAGATCGCTTGTTTATCGTGTATTTTGTAAAACTTTTCGTTGTCGTCGGTGCCGGGTTTGAATAGTTATAAAAACTTGAGTAACGCTATAATGTGATATGAGGGGCTCGGTGGCCGTAGGGCAACCGGTTTTGCTTACTGAGCAGAACATCATGAGTCTAATCTCAAGCCCATTCACATTCAAGATTCAATCGTTTTATTTGTTAACATGACTACAACAGCAACTCGATGATTAAAAAGGAGCTCGTCTGCCTAGTGGCAAACGTTTTTGCTTACTGAGCAGAAGACCGTGGATTCAATCCCAAACTCCTTCGTGTTATATGATTGTTACGACATCAATTCAGCTTATCGTTTACCAAAACGAACCCTGCTGCAAACCCAACCCTATTACCGAATATCCCAGTGATTCCTCGTGGAAGTGCAGAGATGTTCTCGGCTTCCATCAAAGCGAGTGTCACGTCAACACATTCCTACCCCTTCCTTTCTTTACCTGTGTTCGGGTGCATCCGGCGCTGGTATTGCCTAGTTTGAGATCACCAGTTTTTACACATTGAGGATGATTGCTAGTCTGGCAATAACAGAGTAGCAACCGTAGGCGGTCAATCATGCTCATGCTCATGGTAATAGCTATTGATTAACATTTTTGAATGTTTAGTTGCAGGCAGCTTTTATTACACCAAACATAGAATAAGCTTATTTTATTCTGGTATGTCTGTATACCTTCTTTGTTTCTTATTTCTAGAAAGAAGTTCATGCCATCCGCATAGATCAAAACTTTTATGTTTTTAAGAATAAAGAAGATGTCGTTTACAAATAAATTAAACAAAAGAGGGCCTAGCCTTGGGGGACTCCAGAAGTAACAGCAATAGGGTTTGATTTTTCACCTTTGAATTTAAATATTTGTTGGTGATTAGTTAAATATGACTTAAGCCATTTGAGAAGTCCAGGTTCAATTCCTATTTTCCGTTTTTGACAACAAGGCGTACATTTTATTATGCAAAAATCGTAAATTCTGTAAATCCTTTTATTTTTCACTATGATGATAGTAAAATTTAAGCATAAGCATAATAAACATTCACAAATGTCGTCACTTCTTTAGAAAAGCAATATGAGGGTTTAGAAGCAACAGCGATAAGTCATTACCCTAATAAAATTTGTATGGTTATTTTGCCTAACGACGTGTTCAGGGTATCTTCTAAATCTTTTGTGGAATAGTTCTATCATTTGGGATATCGTTCGGGTATGGCATTTTTTATGAGGGTAATTCTTTATAATACATACTCTGCAAGTTTTTCGTACCCATCAATAAGTTTCAGCGGGTAAAAATTAGAATATTACAAAATTATCATCTCAGATAAATATGTGATGAACTAGCCTACGGCTAAAAATCACAAAAATAAAGAAAAAAAAAAAAAAAAAAAAATCTCAGATAAATTTACAAAAATAGATCGTATAATACTTTGAAAAGTTAAATTTATGACCAGCGGTGAGATCAAACCCTTCTTACTCATTTAAAATCCGACTAAAGTTCCCGAAGGAGTCCGGCAATTTCTGAAAGAGTTCAAAGTGAGCTTGATATCAATTGAGTTCTGGCACATGTCGGGTTCTGATCACTTACCCTAGTGATTCGGAACATATCCGAATGTGTCCAATGTGTCGCTGCGTACTCAATATGGACGCTAAACTGATGCATAATTTGAAATTTTCGGGTCCTGATTAGCCTCCATAATTTGAACTCATTCGTTAAGAAACTGACACAAACCATTTGGATAGTATCGTCCATTGGTTCTCTGTGTAATTACAGCTGATTTGGCAATAACGCACTTGCATCCACGGGCGCTCATACTCATGCTTATAAAATAGACTTCTTTGCGTCAAATAACCGCTCAATTGAAAATGAAGCCTAGACAGAATGGTTCAAAACCGGTTGGTTGGTTGGTTATCTTTATTAAGGAGATTTTCAGCCAGACGCTGGCTCATCTCCGCGGTTCAAAACTGGATATACGTTGTCCATATGATATCCATCGTGATATAGAAGGTAGTTTTGGATGGACCTACTGCATTATTTTTTGAGACGTCTTTTCCCATGACCAATTTTTGGTGTGTACATTCGTTACTACTGTTCAGTGTAATTTCCCATCACCGCGCTTATTATGCTATCAATAATTACATCCGGACCATTTCGTGCAGAAAAGGCCCGTCACCGTCCTCTATCGCACACGTGCTGCTGTCAAAACTTCTCAAACTGGGTACTTCGTATAATCTTTTATGAAAAGCGAAATGGAACAATCATCTCAGTGTTCATTGTACCAAAAATAGGAGGCAGGAAATTGCAGTGACGCCGTCGGAAATTTTGATTAAGAAGGGGAAGCGTAGACCACTCATAACTGCACATGTACGAGGTTTTAACAAATCACGCATGGCATTGTACCACCATCAGGCTTGCAGTGAAAGGTGAATCTTATCCTGTTTGTAGAATCTCCACAACACAGGAGAGGAAAACAAAAACATCTGCCAACCGATTTCGAGCCCACCAATTTCAATCCCGGTTTATTCAGCCTGGTTGCGTTCATTTGCCTCTACTTCACGCGATGTTTATCTGTGACGCCAGGAGTATGCTGCTCACACACACACACACACGCCATAGCTAGGCAATTAGCGTTGACATTCCCGACATAAATTCGCAGCTTGTTGCTCGTGCATCGGATCAAGTTTTCGTTGTACCGCTGACATCCGGCGCTAAATCTCGACGTGAGCCCGTTTTGTGTAATATCGTGACTAATGCGCCGAATGTGAACTCTGTGTTGTC